CTGCTTCCATATGCGCTCGTACACACTTTCCTTGGTGTTCGTACACACTTCCCTTTTGTGTTCGCACACTGCTTGGAATGTTGTTCTCCGTTTGTTGTCCTCCTTGCTAGTTGTGAATAAACTCTATCTGACACCACATGGCGCAGTGAACATTTCGTCCTGTAGTTTCCATTCTGTCCACACCAACCTAGTTTGTAGTGTCTTACCTGGCCCAGTAGCAGTGTAGCACTCCGTTGGATTTGGATGAGCCTTTTGCGCGTTGTACAGATCCACGAAACCCCGTAGAATCCCGTAGAACCTAATGGGTGTTGAATGTGCAGGACCCTATTGTGTCTTTTGCTATTTCCACTAAGATATAGGCCCTGAAGGCATTTCAAACAAAAACCTTTTCTGACAAAGATATAGCTAGTCATTAGTTCTAACCAAAGTGAAGAAACTGGAATAGGGATTGTTTGCCATTAATTATGAGGTTAAAATTGGTCAAATGCGCATGCATAGCACACAATGAACACCCAATCGGCTCTGTACTCACCTACGCCCTAGTATTGAACTTCGTACATCTGTACAATGCGCAAAAGGCTTATTAGATTACCCTGCAGTAAGTTTGTTAGTTCGTTTTAGATAGGAGTGTTGTTCAATTTATTTCGTAGGACGTAGTCGTGTGAGCTGTCACAACGAGCATTTGTGATCAGCATGGCGAGCAGCGATCCCGCAGCACCTTCTGGTAATGGAGTGCCTGACGTCGCCACGCTCCTGCAGCTCCTGACAACTCAGGCACAGGCGTCTGCACTGCGAGACCAGCAGTTTCAGACCCTGATGGAAAGGATGTCCAACCAGACCAGTACTAGTTCTACAACCCCACCCGCACCCAAGTCTGTGTCCGCAGAACGACCAGTATTGTTATCTACTGCCACAATGGCAGAATTTACCGCTTGGGAGGAGGCCTGGCGTGACTATGCGCAATGCCAACGTCTCGCCAGCCACGACCGCCATACACGTATGTCAGCGTTCCGCCAGACCCTAGATGAGGACCTGCGCCGTTTCATCCGAGAAGGCATTATCGCCTTCCCGGAAGACGCTGACATTGCTGATGCCATCCCGGTCCTCCAGCAGTACATCCGGCGGCAGAGGAACCCGCTGCTCGACCGAATCGAATTTTACAAGAGACGGCAGCAGCGTGGGGAATCATTTGACTCCTTTTATACGGCCCTCCGTGAACTGTTTCACGCGTGTGACTTTTCTGGGTGTTCAGTATGTCATAACTGCAACCAGGCGATGTGCAACCCCTGCAAGGCAGGCCTGTTGAAATTCAACAACGACATACTACGTGACCGCATTGTGACAGGCGTATTTGAGGACGACGTGCGTCACAAGCTTCTGGCCCTCCAGAACTTGGATCTGGAGGCAACCGTGAAGCTCTGCCGTGCTGAGGAAGCAACCTGCCAAACTTCCTCTGGCATTCCCTCCAGTGGTCACGTGCACGCAGCTAAGAAATCATCTTATAAACAGCAGAAGGCGAGCCGGCCCGCACCCGTGAAGTCTACACCAGACAAGCCCGCAGGTGACAAGTGTCCTGGCTGTGGTCGCAGTCCCCACACCAAAGGCACATGTCCTGCGAAGTCACGCAAATGTAACGGATGTCAACGTGTCGGACATTTCCAGTCCATGTGCCCGCACAAAGGCAAACCAACAGCATCCGGCAAAGTCGGCCAACTTAAGTTGCAACGTGCCTCTGTTCGACATGGTCTAGAACTCAGTGTCCACACGCAGCTCAACACAGAACCGACCGCCGAAGCCATGACATGGATTCCAGATACCGGCAGCGATGCTGACGCCATTGGGCCAGCACATCTTTCCCAGCTAGGTGGCTTCCCTGAGAACCTTGCCGTCAATTCCGACACTGTTTCAGCAGCAAACGGCACCTCTCTGGTTAGCCTGGGAAAGATTTCTGCCACGCTCTCCATTGGCTCAGCCCAGCACACCACGGTACTTCATGTGTATGAAGACCTCGACGAGGCGCTGCTGTCATGCCAATCTCTCCGTGCTCTTGGCATTCTCCCTGAGTCCTGGCCGCGGATTTCCCGTGTGAAATCCGAACCCAGTAGTGCAGACATTGCTGATGTTAAGGCTCAGCTGATGCAAGAGTTTGCTGATGTATTTGACGATTCCCAATTGAAGCCCATGGCTGGTCCTCCCATGGAGATAAAGCTTCAATCTGACGCCACACCAACTCGTGTTAATGGTGCCCGCGCAATCCCATTCGCATTCCGAGACCAGATAAAATCTCAACTGGACGATATGGTGATCAATGGAATTATTGAGCCAGTCACTGAACCGTCAGACTGGTGCCATCCGATCGTCATCGCAGATAAGAAGTCTTCTAACGAGAAGCGCCTCACCGTTGATTTGCGTAAACTCAACGACCAAGTCTGCCGACCAACACACCCAGCTCGTACTCCGCGTGACGCCGTGACAGCTATTGGTAAAGCCCGTTTCTTCACCACACTCGACGCTCGTCATGGGTACTGGCAAATACCCCTGTCCGACGACTCGAAGCCGCTCACGACATTCATCACGCCCTGGGGTCGGTATCGCTATTGCCGCAACCCTCAAGGTCTGTCCTCAGCAGGTGACGAATTCAACTGCCGCACAGACGCAACATTTGACCGCCTCGCTAACTTCGTCAAAGTCGTTGATGACGGCCTAGTACATGACGTCGATTTTCAAGACGACGTCACCCACGTTCGTGACGTCCTTCACCGTGCCCGTGAGCATCACATTACGCTCAGCCCACACAAGTTTGTATTCGGCGCTAGTGAAGTACAGTTCTGCGGATTCGTCATCAATGCTGATGGTTATGCCGTTGATGGTAGCAAGACATCTGCCATTCGCCAGTTCGAAGTGCCCTGCAACCGCACTGACCTCCGCTCGTTCTTCGGTTTGGTCAACCAATGCAGCGACTTCACACCGCGCATTGCTGAACTAAGTGAGCCGCTTCGCCCACTCCTGAAAACCAGCAATGAGTTCGCCTGGGATCAGCAGCACACCATAGCATTCGAAGCCGTCAAAGCCATCCTGACTGAGTCACCAGTGTTAGCTTTCTTCCAACCTGGCAAGCCTCTCCGTCTCGAGACTGATGCATCTGTGAAGAATGGCCTCGGATTTGCCCTATGGCAACAGCATGATGACCAGCAATGGCACCTCATACAGTGTGGAAGTCGTTTCTTATCTGACACTGAAACAAGGTACGCTGTAATCGAGCTCGAGTGCCTCGCAGTCGTCTGGGCAGTGCACAAGTGCCGCTTGTATCTATCTGGTGCACAGTTCTCACTAATCACCAACCATTGTCCGCTTGTACCGATTATCAACAGCTACACCCTTGACCAGATTGAGAACTCTCGTCTACTCCGATTGATCATGAAACTTCGTCCGTATCAAGTGAAAGCATCGTGGCGTAAGGGTTCAGAGCACGTATTCGCAGATGCCCTCTCACGACATCCTGTATCAATCCCGACTAGTGATGATGAACTTGGAGAAGATCCAGCACTGTCCTGCCGCAGTATCCGTATCTGTCTACTCCAAGGTGGTCCCCAGAGTCTCCAGTTCGCTAAGCTCCGTGCCGCAGCAGCATCTGATCCTGACTACCAGATGCTACTCGGGTATATCCAGAACGGATTTCCCTCAGCACAAAAGCAGCTGCCCGAGCCTCTTCGTGCGTATTGGAACGTGTGTGAACATTTGTCCACCGACAATGGCATAGTCCTGAAAGGTCTACGCATAGTCGTCCCAGCCTCTCTGCGTGCGTCAACGCTGATCGACCTTCACGCAGCCCACCAAGGTCTGACCCGTACCAAACGACGTGCTCGTCAGACAGTGTATTGGCCCGGAATGAACAGTGAGTTAGACACGCTAGTCCGCAACTGTGATGCATGCCGTGAATTTCAGCCGTCTCAGTCTGCCGAACCGCCCATTTCTGACCGCAAGCCCACTTTGCCATTCGAAAGTGTTAGTGCTGACCTTTTCAGTTGCCAAGGTTGCGAGTATTTGGTATTCGTCGACCGCTTAACCGGATGGCCATGCATAGCCAAGCTTGGTCACTCAGCCACGTCAGCTGACGTCATCCGTCATTTCCGCAGGTGGTTCCCAGATGTAGGCGTACCACAGGTCATTTCAACGGACGGCGGTCCTCAGTTTGCGTCTCACAGATTTGCTGAATTTTGCGAGCGCTGGGGAATCCGTCATATCAAGTCGTCCCCTCACTACCCACAGTCGAACGGACATGCGGAAGCAGTCGTAAAGGCAATGAAGTACCTGGTGGAAAAGACTACCAATGACGGTAATCTAGACACCGATGCTTTCCAGCGTGGCCTTCTCGAGTGGCGCAATACTCCTGGCACTTCGGGAAAGAGTCCTGCCCGGTTACTGTATGGTCACCCACTCGTCTCCTTCGTTCTCGCCCAATGGAGCCAGTTCGACTCCCACTGGCTAGACACCGCCTCTGACATGGATGATGTTGATCGAGTAGACCAGCCTCCCAGTCAGCCTCACCGAGAGCTTCCCCACTTGTCTATCGGGACGCACGTTGACATTCAGCACCCGAAGACAAAACGGTGGTCTTCCCGCGGCGTAGTCGTGGCTATCGGTGACCACCGCGACTACTACGTCAAGCTACCGAGTGGACGCGTATATTGGCGCAACCGTCGCTACCTCCGCCCGTACCGTCCTCCTACTCCAGCTTCAACCGCCATGCCTGCATCGTCTCCCGTACCCGACGCTGCACCACAAGCAGTCCCTGTGACTCAGTCGTCGCCACAGTCAACTGTTCAGGTACCACCTCAAACAAGCCAACGTCCCCGGCGACAGAAGGTCCCCTTTAACATTATTTCAACGCGTGGACAATCGTACAATTAACACTCGCTCTGTTCAGTTGTTGATGTCCATTGTACCTATTCAATTGTCATTCCCATTGTTTCGCAGTTGAAAACCTTCGTGTATATAATTTTTGCAATTATCCCTTTTACAAGTCTGTTGGAAGTTGCTGCTGCTCCGCGACATGTCATTTGCTACGCACATGCAATTTTCACATTATTTTTTGTTGATTAGATAAACACTTGTACGTTTTTATCTTAGGAGGGGCATGATGTATATAGCATACTTCCGTATATGGTGCAGCTCCCGTACCCCGTATGCACCCGCCTAGAGCTCCTGCTTCCATATGCGCTCGTACACACTTTCCTTGGTGTTCGTACACACTTCCCTTTTGTGTCCGCACACTGCTTGGAATGTTGTTCTTCGTTTGTTGTCCTCCTTGCTAGTTGTGAATAAACTCTATCTGACACCACAACTAGCTGTGCATCACTGTAATCAGTTGTCTGAAGATTGCTATATGGCATGAAACTTTAAGTTACGACAATCAAGACGCGTGGTTTTTCTGTGACTCGTGTAGAGCATTATGGTATAGCTCATGGCCTCACTTAACCTGCAGATCCACATGGGCACAACAAGCTAGTACCAACCTAAATGTATTTGCCCAGTATCACTATAAAGAAGCTTGTTCACCAGGCGTTCACAACGCCTGGTGGCAAAGATGCATACAGTACCTTTGGCAAGATTTGGAAAAGAGACTGCCATGATATCACAGATTATGAAACAATGTGTGCGGCAGATGTAGACATAACTAGATGTTCTGCTACCAGTACCAGAAAAAACTATCAATATCCTTTAACCCGGCATTGATCCGAGCTTCTTCACTACTTTGCACCTGCCTCTACCCATCACTCCGGCTGGCATATCCTCATACAGAGCCAAATACCTCTTCCAGCAGATTCGCGAGGAACACCATCCACAGAACAGAGATAGAATGTGTCTATCTCCACAACAGGAAGATCCAATGCCATCATAAACTTTTCCTTTTGAAGATTGTGACATAGAGATTTATTCTGCAAAATTTGGCTGCAATCATGCTGCTTGAATTCTCACAGCATTGGCTCCAAAATGTAGCATAAAATCCTGGATTTTTGCTACTTTTCCTCAACAAATTGTAGGAAAAGTGCGAAGAAATTGTCATTGTATCTAACTGAATATGTATGCGATCCACTTCAATCTTCACCAGAAGTTGAAGAAAGGGTCATGAGTCAACAATCCAGCACAAACTCAATTTCGCCAAAATAGCACCTAAGGTCGGTTTCTGCAGAGCACTAGTCAAATGTCGTTCCCATCAACCGACCTGTTCCCGTTGTCAGTTGTGTTAGTAAGTAAGAAACCTCTCTTGTTCGGACCCAACATTGGCGCTCAACTTTTGCTGAAGCCTACAACACTGAGGTCCTCGTCATCTACCGCCCGGCATTCGTCTCGTGTTCAGCCTCGTCTCGTTATCGTATGCAACCTCGTCACGTCAATGTCAACCTCGTCTCGTCCAGGTCCACCTCGTCTCTTCACGTAGGTCAGCTTCCTTTCTCTCTTTCTTTTTTGTATGCGTTTCTTCTTCATCAAATTTATTTTCGGTTTATTTCTTTCGTTAATTTGTTTTGTAGTGTGTGTGCACGCGTGTGTGTTCTTCATAAAATATTAGTGTTGCAAATTTATGTTACGACTATGATTTACGCATGTCATTGTATTTGGTTCTTGTCTGGTGGAGTCCTAGGTCTGATGTCATATATGGTCTAGGTGTACGCGCGAGTATGGTGTGATGTGTGACGTTTATGGTATGTGGTGCATGCAAGAGTACGCGTTGTCAGAGTGTGAGGATGTGCTTCCGTCTGTGTGAGAGTGACTGTCAAGTGAATGCTGTACATGCGCAGTGCTAGTTTGGTCTGGGAATTAGAGTCATGTGTGATTCGTCTGTGGTCTGGTTGTCTTGGTCTTGGTCATGTGTTCTGTACGCCTTGGTCCCTGATTGGTCGTCTCGATTTGTCGTTGGTTTATTACTGCTTGTTCTTTGTTGTTTTCTTTGAGTCTTTTCCCGGGAGTCTTTCCCGTCGTCGTTTTCTGTCCAGTCTTTTCGTCTTTCTCCTCCTGTGCCCACGCCGTTTATTATTGAGAAGTGAATACTAGTATTGAAGCTAACTGAATGGTGCGTTGTTGAGTGACCGGGGCCAGGGGGAGAAGGCAATACTATTTCAACAACAGTGGCGCCCAACGTGGGGCTCTAACCCACGACCTTGAGATTAAGAGTCTCATGCTCTACCGACTGAGCTAGCCGGGCGTAAATTAGAGGGCTGATCATGGTGAGCCACACTCTAATTTTTGATGTTTAGCAGAAGAGCAACTACGCTATTATAACCCATGCAAGCAGTATCAGCAGGTTCCTGGTCACGTCCAGTTTCTTATCTTTAGACTTAGAGAAGTACAGGAACAATAACTGTAATGCATGATACTAGTAAACACTTTTGTGAGATCCGTGCACGCGTGCAGTGTGTGTGTGTTTTTTCTTCCTCAGTCATTTTTTATCTCTATTTTTTTTATCCGCGAGGACGCGGGATTCTTTTTCAAGTAGGGGTGGTATGTTAGGCCCACAAGTTCATGACTTATTCATTTGGCCTGGGTAGTTACTTGCGCGCCCATGTTTGCCATAGCTACCCAGGCCCTTTATATTGCGTTGCTTCTCTCTTCAACTCTCTGTCTCTCTCTCTTCAATAAGCTTGCTCTATTCAGATAATCTCTTTCTCACTCTTCAATGTAGTCGTTTCGTTCGTCGCTTGTCTCGTCGTCTATAATAAATGTCGTTCCCATCAATCTACCTGTTCCCGTTGTAAGTTGTGTTAGTGAGTAAGAAACCTCTCTTGTTCGGACCCAACAATATCAATAGTTAGGAGTAGAGCCCACACCCTCTCAGGAAACCTCCCCACTTTTACTTAAGATATCAATATCATCAGAACATCTAGCCGGGGTGGGGGGGGGGGGAGTGGGGGGGGGGGGGGGGAGGATTTCTGCACCTGACCAATGTTAACCACAACAAAATTTTGGGAAAACGCCTGTCAGAACACACAGTGGGTAACTCACGGAATTCGCACACAACGTATGAGTCAAAGGACGTTAGCCGTGTGGAAAACGCGTGGTGTTGTAGTCCTCCGGTGACGTACGCAATCGAATTTCCCGCTCCGGGCTTGTACTCGTTTATCCACCCGACGCGGCGGGAACTGAGGAGATCGGCTGTGCAGCCTGCACGGTAAGCCGCCGGTGTCAGTAGAACTCCCCCCTTGCTCTGGCATAGACCCCGAGCAGTGGTGAAGTTGAAAAGATCGGTTGTCCGTTGCAGAACTGCTCCAGTCTCAGCACAGTATGTATACCCGGTCCAGGGGAAAGTAGCTGGAAAGAAGAACAGAAGAATAAAATTAATTTAAACATTTTTTCTAACTGTCACTCTTGAAGTGGTACCCTGGTCTCACTGTGATCTAGCACGTACAAAACCAGCGCCTTTTCTAAACCAGCATACGAGAATTGTGGCGATACCTGCAGTGAGAAAGCAGATTTTGCCTGTGCCATGGTATATTGAAATAAGCTAAACAAGAAATGCCCCAATCCAACAATATCATATCCTAACCTGCTGCATTAGCACTGTTGATGTACCCAGCATTCAGGGACGCCACGAAGCAGAAAATCAAAAGACCTTTCATCTGAATGCACAGGATAAGTGCTGACTGGGCCTTGTCGCGTTGAGGCGTACACCTTTGCATTCGACATGTGGTGAGGGTACACCGCACCAAGCAGGCACCGCAATTTTCTGCAGTGCCATGCGTCCGGCCGATTACTGAGTTGCTGTGTCAGGGCCCACAGTCCCCATGACAGTGTATACAGGGCGAAAATTTGATGCGGCCGAAATGGGTTTTCACCCTGGGAGGCCGAAATTTGAAAGCGCCGAAAATTTGCCGGACGTTACAACTCATACAATAGGACTGTATTAGGAAACACTGTGTACGTACCTATGCAGGCAGGAATCTTGTTGCCAGCAGAGCAGACACGCTCTGTTTCAAAGCACTCGAAGCCAAGGTCACACGTGACAATGCCAGCCGCCGATACGTTAGCAATGTGATCTCCGGAGGAACGTTGGCATGCTGTTACAGTTGAGACAAAGCACAGGATGAAGGAAAGTGTGACAAGCCTAAAATTTAACGATTTGAAAAATTACTTTATTCAACAACAGTCCCCTTACCCCTCTCGAACCGGGTTGTAACTAAAACGCAGCCTAAAATATAAATTTCATCATATAATCTGATTTAGTAAAATTAATGGTGTCCTGGAGCTGGGCAATGCTAGCAATACAATATTGGACAAAATCACACTTTCGGAATACACAGTCGGTCATGATTTCGCAGTCTAAGATAGTGTTAGGCCCACAAGTTCATGCATTATTCATTTGGCCTGGGTAGCTACTTGCGCGCCCATCTTTGCCATAGCTACCCGGGCCTTTTTATATTGCGTTGATTCTCTCTTCAACTCTCTCTCTCTCTTCAATAAGCTCGCTCTCTTCAGATAATCTCCTTCTCACTCTTCAATGTAGTCGTTTAGTTTGTCTTGGTTTCTTGTCTCATCGTCTATAATAAATGACCCGCGCTCTGTGAAAACTGACCTTAGGTGCTTCGTATTTTTTTCGAGAAAAAGAACAAAACGTCACGGTCTGTCGATTTTTGAAGATCACAAGGTGAGAGTCATGGCAGAACGAAGCAGAAAACTGCCGCTAGCTCAAATAATTGCTGTGGGCTTCTCTAAGGGGTTTCATCCGAACTCCTTCACGATGAATAGTCATTTTTTTTGGCCTGGTCCAATCGCAGTTCTGATAACAGCAGTGTCGAGGAGACGGTTGGATGTGGAATCGCAGGACGCAACGCTGATCGAGCTGGACGGCCATGCGGTGGGGAATTTCGATCAGGCGTCAGTTTTGCCACCAGCCCAGCCCCCCCAAATGCCGGCTATAAACAGAGTGCAGACCAAGAAAAATCGGTTCAAGTACTGTCTACAATCCAGGAGGTGCGAGACAGGTTTGACAAGGGCTGTAGTTGTTCCGCACTGGTGCTGTTTGAAGAGCGTGACACTTGATACCTTGCTTTACATTTACAGCGCACACAGCGCACGGCCTGACCAAGTCAGAGCTCTGCTTGCGTGTAGGCGGAAAGCTAGACGTGCTCAGGAGACGTGGTGAGGCTACCCAGCGCGTCCAGCATGCTGGAAGATGTGATAGATGGGGCTCAACAATACTACTCTGAACTACTGAAGACTACAGTCAGTGGCTGGTGTGGAAGTCATGTACATGCATGTCAGGAAGTCTTTGTGCATGCCTCCAGCCCAGGATCAAGCCCTGGGTGCTGAAATCTGTGTCGGGCTGCTATCAGTGCAAGTAAAATCAGCCCAGCACTGGAATTGAATGAACTCTGGAATGCAGTGCCTGTGGAAGATGTTGTGGAGCTGAAGCAATTTATAGAGAATTCTGTTTTCTCACTCACGGACCATGTGAGTTTGGCACATTTTCCATCCAGGACTTTTTGCACCCACCAGACCTCAAACCTTCACAGATTGCTTCCTATGCTGCTGTATAAATACCATACTAGCTGTGCATCACTGTAATCAGTTGTCTGAAGATTGCTATATGGCATGAAACTTTAAGGGCGCGTTTGGTTGGTACGAACTAGAACAGGATTCACCAGAACAGCGCGTTTGGTTGGGACTGCACCTGTTCTGGGTCGGCCAGAACATGTTCTGCTTGCCCCGGCCTCGAGGCCGGAGCAGACCGAGCAGTTTCCCTTTTTCACACTGAAACCTGGCAGGAACATCGATTTTGGTCCCAAATGATCACGTGCATACGCTTTTGGGTTGGACTCGTTGTACCGTACAAAGTGACCATGGTGACCCATACACATTTTCAAGTTTCACACATTTTTCCACGAAAATGTGCTGTGTTACTGGAGTACCGTTTGGTTGGCATGAGGCTGCTCCATGTGCACCAGCTGTTCCATCCTGTTCTAGATCGTACCAACCAAACGCAGCCTAAGTTACGACAATCAAGACGCGTGGTTTTTCTGTGACTCGTGTAGAGCATTATGCTATAGCTCATGGCTTCACTTAACCTTCAGATCCACATGGTCACAACAAGCTAGTACCAACCTACATGTATTTGCCCAGTATCACTACGAAGAAGCTTGTTCACCAGGTGTTCACAACGCCTGTGTGGCAAAGCTGCATACAGTACGTTTGGCAAGATTTGGAAAAGAGACTGCCATGATATCACAGATTATGAAACAATGTGTGCGGCAGATGTAGACATAACTAGATGTTCTGCTACCAGTACCAGAAAAAACTATCAATATCCTTTAACCCGGCATTGATCCGAGCTTCTTCACTACTTTGCACCTGCCTCTACCCATCACTCCGGCTGGCATATCCTCATACAGAGCCAAATACCTCTTCCAGCAGATTCGCGAGGAACACCATCCACAGAAAAGAGATAGAATGTGTCTATCTCCACAACAGGAAGATCCAATGCCATCATAAACTTTTCCTTTTGAAGATTATGACATACAGATTTATTCTGCAAAATTTGGCTGCAATCATGCTGCTTGAATTCTCACAGCATTGGCTCCAAAATGTAGCATAAAATCCTGGATTTTTGCTACTTTTCCTCAACAAATTGTAGGAAAAGTGCGAAGAAATTGTCATTGTATATAACTGAATATGTATGCGATCCACTTCAATCTTCACCAGAAGTTGAAGAAAGGGTCATGAGTCAACAATCCAGCAAAAACTCAATTTCGCCAAAATAGCACCTAAGGTCGGTTTCTGCAGAGCACTAGTCAAATGTCGTTCCCATCAACCGACCTGTTCCCGTTGTCAGTTGTGTTAGTAAGTAAGAAACCTCTCTTGTTCGGACCCAACATTGGCGCTCAACTTTTGCTGAAGTCCACGACACTGAGGTCCTCGTCATCTACCGCCCGGCATTCGTCTCGTGTTCAGCCTCGTCTCGTTATCGTATGCAACCTCGTCACGTCAATGTCAACCTCGTCTCGTCCAGGTCCACCTCGTCTCTTCACGTAGGTCAGCTTCCTTTCTCTCTTTCTTTTTGTATGCGTTCCTTCTTCGTCAAATTTATTTTCGGTTTATTTCTTTCGTTAATTTGTTTTGTAGTGTGTGTGCACGCGTGTGTGTTCTTCATAAAATATTAGTGTTGCAAATTTATGTTACGACTATGATTTACGCATGTCATTGTATTTGGTTCTTGTCTGGTGGAGTCCTAGGTCTGATGTCATATATGGTCTAGGTGTACGCGCGAGTATGGTGTGATGTGTGACGTTTACGGTATGTGGTGCATGCAAGAGTACGCGTTGTCAGAGTGTGAGGATGTGCTTCCGTCTGTGTGAGAGTGACTGTCAAGTGAATGCTGTACATGCGCAGTGCTAGTTTGGTCTGGGAATTAGAGTCATGTGTGATTCGTCTGTGGTCTGGTTGTCTTGGTCTTGGTCATGTGTTCTGTACGCCTTGGTCCCTGATTGGTCGTCTCGATTTGTCGTTGGTTTATTACTGCTTGTTCTTTGTTGTTTTCTTTGAGTCTTTTCCCGGGAGTCTTTCCCGTCGTCGTTTTCTGTCCAGTCTTTTCGTCTTTCTCCTCCTGTGCCCACGCCGTTTATTATTGAGAAGTGAATACTAGTATTGAAGCTAACTGAATGGTGCGTTGTTGAGTGACCGGGGCCAGGGGGAGAAGGCAATACTATTTCAACAACAGTGGCGCCCAACGTGGGGCTCTAACCCACGACCTTGAGATTAAAAGTCTCATGCTCTACCGACTGAGCTAGCCGGGCGTAAATTAGAGGGCTGATCATGGTGAGCCACGCTCTAATTTTTGGATTTTAGCTGAAGAGCAACTACGCTATTATAAGCCATGCAAGCAGTATCAGTAGGTTCCTCGTCACATCCAGTTTCTTATCTTTAGACTTAGAGAAGTACAGGAACAATAACTGTAATGCATGATACTAGTAAACACTTTTGTAAGATCCGTGCACGCGTGCAGTGTGTGTGTGTTTTTTCTTCCTCAGTCATTTTTTATCTCTATTTTTTTTCTCCGCGAGGACGCGGGATTCTTTTTCAAGTAGGGGTGGTATGTTAGGCCCACAAGTTCATGACTTATTCATTTGGCCTGGGTAGTTACTTGCCCGCCCATGTTTGCCATAGCTACCCAGGCCCTTTATATTGCGTTGCTTCTCTCTTCAACTCTCTCTCTCTCTCTCTCTCTCTTCAATAAGCTTGCTCTCTTCAGATAATCTCTTTCTCACTCTTCAATGTAGTCGTTTCGTTCGTCGCTTGTCTCGTCGTCTATAATAAATGTCGTTCCCATCAATCTACCTGTTCCCGTTGTCAGTTGTGTTAGTGAGTAAGAAACCTCTCTTGTTCGGACCCAACAATATCAATAGTTAGGAGTAGAGCCCACACCCTCTCATGAAACCTCCCCACTTTTACTTAAGATATCAATATCATCAGAACAACTAGCCGGGGGGGGGGGGGGGGGGGGAGGGGGGGGGGAGAATTTCTGCAGCTGACCAATGTTAACCACAACAAAATTTTGGAAAAACCCCTGTCAGAACACACAGTGGGTAACTCACGGAATTCGCACACAACGTATAAGTCAGAGGACGTTAGCCGTGTGGAAAAGACGTGGTGTTGTAGTCCTCCGGTGATGTACGCAATCGAATTTCCCGTTCCGGGCTCATACTCATTTATCCAGCCCATGCGGCGGGAACTGAGGAGATCGGCTGCGCAGCCTGCACGGTAAGCCGCCGGTGTCAGTAGAACTCCCCCCTTGCTCTGGCATAGACCCCGAGCAGTGGTGAAGTTGAAAAGATCGGTTGTCCGTTTCAGAACTGCTCCAGTCTCAGCACAGTATGTATACCCGGTCAAGGGGAGAGTAGCTGGAAAGAAGAACAGAAGATTAAAATTAATTTAAACATTTTTCAAAATGTCACCCTTGAAGTGGTACCCTGGTCTCACTGTGATCTAGCACGTACAAAACCAGCGCCTTTTCTAAACCAGCATACTAGAATTGTGGCGATACCTGCAGTGAGAAAGCAGATTTTGCCTGTGCCATGGTATATTGAAATAAGCTAAACAATCAACGCCCCAATCCAAGAATATCATAACCTGCTGCATTAGCACTGTTGATGTACCCAGCATTCAGGGACGCCACGAAGCAGAAAATCAAAAGACCTTTCATCTGAATGCACAGGATAAGTTGTCAAGAAACAAAAACGTTTAAAAAACACAAAACATCGGATCGAGAGACAAGGATTAATTAATTGTATTGCAAGGACCAAGGAACTACGAGTGATGGCAAAAGATGTGCTAGCAAAAATGACTGTAGTTGCAAAACGTCAGCATTGGTGATTGTCCTGCATTGTAATGCCTGTGTTGATTGCAACTGGTGATTTTAGTGGACATTATAGCCTAACCTGTATACTGTACTATATACAGTTAGAAAGTGCAATACTGACTAGGCACAAAACTGACAGAGTACTGAGACATTCCACGTCCTGACACCTAGCTTCAACACGATCTCCGTAGCGCTAACCGACAGCCTTTCAACTTGGAAGGTTCCAGGTTATGAAAAGACCAAAGAGGGGAAGGCAAGCGCAGCGAAAACGAGCAAAAGCTACAGTCCCAACGGAACAAAGAATGTCGAATTTTACTGGACGATGACGAGACCAGTACGATATTTGACAAACTACAATTCGAAGCAGAAAAACAGCACACCACCCAACTTGGGTGGGTCAAAAATATCAATGAAAAAATATAAATATCTGTCAGTTTGTGCCTGGTTATTGCACTTTCTGACTCAATATGGTATCCAGTTACAATGATGGAGAGTTATTAAGGACGTTTAGCAAAGCGAAAATTCGAACTTCTGTTGGGGGTGATATTTCGCGAAAATCTGTTTCGAAAAAGAAAACTTGTGAGGTTCAGCAATGCGAAATGATTTTTTCTCGAAGTTATTTGAATCTTATAGTACCGTACCGTATATGCAGCTCAGTCTCAAGCAGGGGGCTGTAAAATTACTACTCCCTGTAGTCAAATGCGTACTGAGAAAAGAGAAAGTTACTTTCGCAAATCACTGCAACTTCGCGTCCAAGTTTTCGAAGTTTCGAGCTTTTTTTCTGTACTCATTCCCAGACTCGAATTTTCTTTTGAACTTTCGCATTGCTAAACATCCTTTAACTCGTATCCATATGTGCTTTTCTTTTCTACATTTATTTATGGCTCAACATCCGAGTTTCAAATTATTTTTATTTATTTATATTTAATAACCGCAATCAATAAAACTAGCTGAACCGACATTTGTGTACTTTATTCATGCAATTTAAAAAACGGTGGAGACGATGTGCAATAGAACGATGAAAATATGAAGAAATGGTGTAGGGAAAATATGGATTCAAACAAGTTTTCGTACAACACTCATCATTCCTGATGAGTGTTGTACGAAAGCTTGTTTGAATCCATATTTTTCTCTACACCATTTCTTCATATTTTCATCGTTCTATTGCACATCGTCTCCACCGTTTTTTACATTGCATGAATAAAGTACACAAATGTCGGTTCAGCTAGTTTTATTGATTGCGGTTATCAGATTGTTGTCTCCTCGCCGTGTGTTTAAATATTTATATTTATTTTATTATTTTTCCTCGCTGCCCACTCTGCCTGTCTTCTGGCACATGCGAATACGTGGACTTGCTGTTGACGTGAACGCGGATATGCATGTAATCATAATAACAGATGCTTCTATGCGCACATCACTGGACTGGTTCTCAGCAGTGAGATAGGATTTTGCCTACTGATAGCCAGGATATACTCGCTGAGGGGGTCAATACATTTTTTTTGTGATGCAATATAAGGGGGGATGGATGACGAAATACTAAATTGAATCCCGGTATTCCCTCTTGTGTGCCAGATATTTGTAGGCGCTTCAGGTTCTACATTGACGGCTCAAGAGAAGTAGGCAGTGATAGCGAAGCGGGTCAATGAGGACTTTGATTTGAAAATGTTGATTTTTGCCGCGCCTGGCTGCCTTGGTTGGCATGGCGAAAAGAATGCCTTCGGGGATTTGAACGCTTTTTACGAAGTACATCTGAATGCACCAAAACACTTTTCACGCCAGGCAAGCTGTACCCGTATCCGGTTTCTCCGTGCGTGTGAATGCGCCCTTACCCACATTTAAGCAGCTTCGCACTAAAGGCATCAAGTGCACTCTACCTTTTGATGAAATCCTCATTGACGGAAAACCGGTCTCGAATGATGATATCCAGCGTATGCTCAAATCAAACAATTCCACATAAGGATCAGCGGGATCTCCTAAACGTTACATACCATCGCCGTGTAAATTAACCGCAATACGCCTGTGCACCATTAACTGCTGCAGCATTTTTAAATAAGCAAGCTGCATTACTACAAACATGACAGAAACATGGCTAAACCCCAGCACACCAGATGCTGCTATTGCTATCCCAAGCTTTTAAGGTTGCATCGTTTTGACTGAGCCAGCACATCTCTACCATGGTCAGGCGCGTACGCAGGGGGGGGGGGGGGTTCCCGTTGCCCGGAACCCCCCCCCCCCCAAATGTTCCAAACGAGCAACGTTTTTGGGCATATTTTGGTAGGGCGCACGATCGATCTGGCAAGAATGCAAAACTTCAACAGATCGTTACTCAGTCAAATCTGGCTCAAATCCAACGATCCAAATATTCAGGTCGAATAGAAAACTCTCAGCTGTCAATTTGCGACGCGCTGCGAGCAATGTCTCCTGAGATAAATCGTTCGTAAGTTGAGCCGCGATCTCGCAATTTCAAAAGCGCGCAGTGCGACTCGAGTATCGAGAATTTGAGACTTTTGTCACGCTGCCTTGCTCAAATTTGCAGGGGCTTCACTTGTGATATTTTCAAGAGTACACAGCAAACAAATTGAAGCTCTGCGATCAACAAAAACGAAATCGCTGGAGCAGGACGCGTTTGGGCCTTTGGCCCAGTTTGGGGCATTTTTTCGCACCGTCGCTGCACTCTACTGCTATAGCATATAGCGCTGGATATGCACATGGCTATACTGTGTCCTGGCTATCATGTTCGACCTCATTCTCTCCCTGGTACCTTTCCACTTCCAGGAAGCCTAAGATAATGAAGATTGAGTGAGTAGAACTGAAGTTATGATCCAAAGAACACGAAAAAATCGCATAATTTTGAAAATTGAAGTACGCGCCTGATGGTCCCAACTAGGTGGAGGTGGAGTTGCGCTATTTATTAAGGAAGAGTTCAACTGCAGTAGACACCCACTGCCTGATAATAACAGCTGTGAAATGCAAATTATTGAAATAAAGCTTCCTCGAAGACCTCTCTTCGTGTCTGTATGGTACAGACCTCCACGGCAAGCCATTGCCACAATTACGAGTTTGTTTAACCAGCTTTCTAATTTATTTGATAATCACAACTGTGTAGTGTTTGGTGACTTCAACGCAAGGAATTCTGCATGGAAAGACTCTGACGTCACTGACAGCAGTGGTAGTTCTGCATGGAAAGACTGTGACGTCACTGACAGTAGTGGTAGAGCTTTGCAATCGCCGTTTGTGCAGTATGGATCCCCTGTTATGAATAATAACGGCACACGTCCCAATTTGCGCAGTGGCTGCACTCCTTTACTTGATATCGTAGCAACCAATATCCGAGATATTGTCTCCTCAACCACCACTCCAACCCCCGTCAGACCACTGCCCCATTATTGTTTCTCTTACACTACTACATGGTAAACAAAAGAAAAAAAGGTAGGCCTCCTTGCACATTATTTCGCCAATCAGTGCACGTTCCCACTAGAAGCAAATAAATTCCCTTGTTCAGAATCCTCCATAGATATAGACGCTAGCGCTACTCAGTTCCATGTGCCTACATTTTCACCAGGTCAAATCCACTACGACCTCACACACTTTTTGTCTCGAAAATCCACTTCAAGCAATCAAATTGTTCTGATTCTTCGTTCCATGGCCAATCTATTATGTGAGTCCTTGTCTTACTTGTTCAACTCTAGTCTATCCACATCACAATTTCCCACTGCATGGAAATCAGCAACGGCCATTCCTCTCTTTAAGGGAAAAGGCAGTGCGTCTCTGCCCACGAACTATAGACCAATTTCACTCCTTCATCCCATCTAAGGTTTGCCGGCAACTCCTGAGGTCTGCGAAAATAGACTTTGACAACTTTGAATCAAAATCAAATTTGAATAGATCCTGTCACTCGGAATCCCTGCAATTTCGTCGTATCTTCAATTCTCTGATTGTTTTATTTAAGTACATCAACAGGGTTCTAGCCAAAGGGGGGTAGGGGGCGCAGCAGCCCCCCCCCCCCCTACTCCGTTTGCGCCCCCCCCCCTGTGAAAAAGTGCCGCCCCCTACTCATTTTCCGATTTTTGTGTTTTTTCACGCCATTCAACGAAAATACAGTCGCTAGTCACTCTAGAGGGTTGATAAGGGCACATTTGTGAGGGGTGAAGTCTGGGTTCACCCTGTTTGTTGCATTTTGAATGGCAAGACAATTTTGGACAATGGAAAAAATGGGTCATGGGGTAACGTTTTCCCATGCCCCCACCCCCCCCCCCTACTACTTGGTCCGGCTCGTCGCAATTGTCGCTTATCTATCGCCACTAAGAACAGGGGATTTTTTACCGCTCTATGAAATTTCCAATAGGCATAGTGAGGAAGCATGATACATGAATATTCTCCGCCACAAGAAAAAAATTTCAGCAATGAAATCTGGTGAAGCGAGTCGAAGAAAGGAAGAAAAGTAAGCAAAATGCACGAAATAAATCAGCGAAGGAGCGCGTTTTTGCACTCAAACTCTTTCAGGTCCAGAGTTCATTCAACTCTCCATCACTCGAGCTGCCGCGACGTTACATGAGCTGACATTTGCTGGTGTCTAGCTGCTGGCGTAGACTGGTACAGCATCTCTTGCTTTCTCAGCCTGTCGTATGGGAAAGGAACAGTTGTGGCTGTCACTTCCGTGCTTGGTGGAACCGTGGGCAGTGTGACCTGAGTGTCGCCACAGTGTGTTTCAACAAAGCATTCAAATGAGGAATACAGGCCTCTCCAGACAGCTGTCATACGCTCCGCTGGATACGCTGACCACGACTCTTGTAATGCTGCTGTTAGGTCCACCAAGCGAAGGAACAACCAACACGTCGGCCGGGCGCATCGCATCAAAAACACCTTTCTTCTTCAGCATGACGCTCATACTCCTCTGCCTTGCACGCGTGCCTGTCACGCTCTCCAGGATGTCAGTTGCCCCTACCACAGTTCTGGTCTTCGGGTCGCTGCGCTTGGCTTTTTTTGGCAACACAGACAGATTCCCACTTCCCAAAAAGTCGAACACATCGCGATTCAAAGCGCTAGTCGCGATCATTTTTCTTTGGTGCCTCCTTTGATCTTGCCATCACAACCTCCCAAGCAAAGGTAAGTTAGATATCGTGATTGGACTGGGTTCTACCTGTCAAAAAGTGCATGGGAGATAAGCGACTATTGCGATGAGCCGGACCAAGTATATTGACCTGGCTAGAACCCTGATCAATTTCCACCCAGACAATCTCTCTCGCTTTGTGATTACCATCTCATGCAGTGCCCGTAGTCCGAAAAAGCTCATTTTTAACTCACATGGCCGCATTTTCTCATGCCTCTTCCTACAGCAAACGAGTGCACTTTGGAATTGTCTCCCACCCCGATTGACTTAAGGTTCGCTAGCAGAATTCAAGTGTCCTTTACGTAATAACATTGTAAAGTATCAGTTTGACTGCACTGGTGTACCCCTTTGATGTGCAGTCCTTGATTAACACTGCTTGTTCTTTCACTGTATCTTTTGTACAGCATCTCTCTGTTTCCGAACTCATTTTGCCCTTTTTTATCTTTTTCCCAACTCCAATGTTCATGGTATATACACAAATAGGAGATCCCCCCGATAGGCGTCAGCCTTTGGGTAATCCTGAAATAAAGATTATTATATCATTATTATTAGGATCAACAGCTTGAAAAGCTGATGAGTTGACCGCCGCTAAGTTTAGCCTGGTATCCACCACACAGCTGTTTGAAGTGGCTTTTTTCTGGCTTTTTCATTTTACTTCACACATACACCTCAGACCTCAGACATGCCCATCGCGGAAGCGATGATAGCGAACAGCTATGTTAGACATAGCAACTTGTGCTGGGATTGCACCATTCGACAGCTTGCAAGGCTGATGAATTGGCCACCACTATCTTTAGCCTGGTATCCACCACACAGCTGTTTGAAGTGACTTTTTCTGGCCAGTGAATCCCTATTTTTAATTTTTCCATTTATTTCTACACACACACCACACCACATACTCCGGTATACACTGGCTGTTGGTAACCACCCAGGAGAATGAAAGAAAAGTCAGGAAGAGCCCGAGAAAGACATACACATCCACACACACACACACGCACACACACACACACACACACACACACACACACACACAAACATCTTGAAAAATACCTTGCAGCACCTATCCCAGTGTGTGGGGACCTTTCAGCAGTGTCGAGACCTTTCAGCGCGTCGGGACCTTTCAACAGTGTCGCCTATGTATTCGTGAACACAACTGGAGAAAAAAGGTAGAGGAAAAATCTTGCCTTCGCCGCAGGGAAATCCACGGTCATGTACCGAAATTTGGCAAACACAAGGCAGCTTCGGCACACCATATGAAACAACGTGTGATGTTTGGGTGAGATAGGTTGCGTCCAAGGAATATCGATGATTGACTGTACTACTCTCGCGCGGAGTATAGACCGTAGTAGGAACTTAGGTCAACATTCGGTGGAAACTCGACGGAAAAGAGGCTTTTGGAGCCAGGTAGTAGTACAATACCGGTGTTGTACTACTCCCTAGCCCTGTTTAGAGCATCACATCTTATACCGTACTACTTTTCGGTTCGGAACTGTCGTGCAGCCTTTGCTCTTCGGCAGCTACTACTTGTAGCTGCGGAGCGATCTCGGAGAGTTCGCGATACACATTCCCCGTACATACAAGGAGCAGTGAGCACGCGTGATGGCAAATATTGTAGACTGTGAAAATGTTCAAGCATGAAGTGGAAGCTTCAACAACAAGTTTCATTCCCCTGGTTCTCAATCTATTGTTCTTCCTCTCATCATCAGCTATAATAGGCAACAGAAAGAGACCTACTACCAATCCAAGTTTCGAGCTGCGTCTGGCAATACCAAACAGACATGGCACACGATCAAAGAATTGAGTGGTAAACATCGACAATCTCAGCCACCTCAATGTTCTGTTGATGCCATCCGAAACACCTTTGCAGAGATAGTAGAGGACGCCAGCCGCCCAGTGCATCTCTCATTTCCCTACGGGCCCGCCTCAAGCACTGATCTGACAGCCTTTGCGCCAGTGTCTATTGCCAGAGTGAGGAAGCTCCTCGAACGTTTAAATCCGGCCAAGTCCAGCGGTGATGATGACATTTCTGCAGCCCTTCTCCGCGCACATGCAGACGTACTGGCGCCATCCCTGACTTTGATCTTTAACAAGTCCCTGAGAGAGGGCATATTTCCTGCCCAGATGAAAAGTGCTAGGATATCGCCACTCTTCAAAGGCGGAGATCCGAGCATGCCAAAGAATCATCGACCAGTGTCCTTGTTATCGATTGCATCCAAAGTGTTGGAAAGGATAGTCCACGAGCAACTCACACGATATCTAGTTCAGAGCAATTTATTCCCGCCAACTCAATTCGGCTACAGATCCCACCACTCTACATCCGACGCACTAGTGCTAGCTGTGGAAGGTATCTGTGAGGCCCGTATGAACAGACTCAACACAGGTGTAGCCTTTGTTGATATGTCAAAGGCATTCGATAAAGTGAAACATCAAACTCTTGTGCAAGATCTGTTCGAACTTGGCATCTGCGACACGGCACTCTGTTGGCTGGTGGATTACCTCTCTGATAGAGAACAGTACATTCAGGTTGGCCAGACTAGAAGTCTCCCGTACACCAGTTACTCAGGTGTCCCCCAGGGGTCGGTACTGGGCCCACTGCTATTTATTGTCTATGCCCGCGGCATAGCAGAAGAACTATCACCGTTTAATGTGGGAGCAATCCAGTTTGCTGATGACATCTCTATACGATGTAGCAGGGAGTCTGCGGAAGCTGTTTCTGCACACCTTTCAGCTGCTGTTCAGCACCTGGCCACCTGGCTGAAGGGCCGTGGTTTAATTCTTAATGAAAGAAAGACACAGATATTGCCTATTCCCCCATCCCCATCTCAAGCACTTGAGCTGCATGTCATTTGTAATGGGCAGACGCTGCCTGTTGTGAAAACGGCCAAGTATCTTGGCCTACATTTCGACTCAGACATGAGCTGGAACACCATGACAAGCCATGTTGCACGCCGCGTTGCCGCTAAGATTGGGCTACTAAATCGAAGTGCAGCATGTTTGCCTTTTTCTTGCCGTGTTCAGTTTTTCAGGTCCTTTATACTATCAGAATTTGACTATGCATCTGCTGCCTATGCCCCTTTCTTATCGTCTTATCAGGATAAGCGCCTAAATAGTTTGTTCAAACGTGCGGCTCGCTCGGTGTGCAGGGCAGCCCCTCGCACTCACACGGCTCCCTTACTTGAACGCATGAATGCCCATACCCTCAGCATATACACCCACATGCACATCCTTGTATTCATTTGGCGCTGCCTGAACAAATCTTCAAGTACTCTGTTTGCAAGCTTTTTCACCCGTAGTCCCTCTCTCCGAACACGAGGAGGGAACAGCAAGTTACTCATCATTCCTGTCTCCCCCACTGCATCCTCAGCTAAGCGCATTAGCCATGCTGGAGCTATCCTGTGGAACCAGCTCCCAGACACAGCACGCCTCGAAAGAAAGCGCTCCACTTTCAAATCGCTAAGCCTGGCCTTTCTGTTAGGCAGTACCGTCAACTAGGATGAACTCATCTGCTTCACTACCTCTCTCTCTCTCTCTCTCTCTCTCTCTCTCTCTCTCTCTCTCTCTCTCTCTCTCTCTCTCTCTCTCTCTCTCTCTCTCTCTCTCTCTCTCTCTCTCTCTCTCTCTCTCTCTCTAACTCTCTCTCTAACTCTCTCTCTCTCTCTCTCTCTCTCTCTCTCTCTCTCTCTCTCTCTCTCTCTCTCTCTCTCTCTCACTCACTCACTCCTTTCTTCCCGGTTGCCGTGCTTGTGACTTTTTTTCCCCTGCTGCCGTGCTCATATTAGTGATCTAACTACAGCTGTATCTTCTTCTTGGTTCTGTTTGTCCGCTTATTATTATATTTTCTTTTCTCTTATTATCAGTGGGACCATTGTCATTAGGTTTAGGCCTGTTTTGGAACTCCACTTTAAATAAAGCCAAACAACAACAAACAACAACAACAACACATTTGACTTAGAAAATCTCAGATTTTGCGCTCCATACATAATTATAGCTCGACTTGCCAGGGTTTAAGGGCTGATAATCCCCTGACCCAGGGGATTATTCTTCATAATCCCCTAGGTAAGGGGAAAGAGCCCAAGACTTTGGACTGCTCTCACTATACCTAGCGAGAGTAGGCCAAAGCAAGGTAGCAAAACAAACCCCAAAGAGCCAGCCTGGAAGCTGCTGTGTGAAATCTCAATCAAATGACTTCATCATAGGAAGGTAATTGAACAAGTGGACATAATATTTACAAAACTCTCACATGAGCACCGTGAATATGTTTTTTGTATTAGATGAACATAGATGTGACATGTGAACGTGCAATTACAGCTGCTCAGCCTCATGAATAATTTTCAACAAAGTACAGTCATGTATGTCTGCAACGTCAACGACAACGTTGCCATGGGAACTGAACAACAAATGAAAGCAAGTACACTGTATTGTATCTTCAGGTTTTTACCGTACCGTTTCTATGGTTGTAGCCAATAAGCGACGTTCCCGCGGTGGCCCTGATGAGCCGATAAAGCCCGCGGTTTTTTTGACAAAAAAGGTGTTGCAAAGTCAACAAAAATAAAAAATAAATAAAGCCCGTGGTCAATGGATACGGAAAATACGGTAGCAATAAAGCCCGTCGTCAATGGCACCCCGTACTCTGTCAGCCTAGCTCTGCAGGGGTCTGTGGCAGTTTTTCGTTGTCAGCTCAGTTCACATCTCACATTCGACTGTGAACATGCTCTGGTACCTGGAAACAGCCTGTCCAAAAACGGCAACATGAAAAGTGTCTACACATCGTGGTCAGTTTTCAACTCAAGTTCTTGTTGTCGTGAGTTGAGACGAAATTTTACGATAGTTGTGAATAAGCGAAAGAGCATGCACCTATCCATCTGCTAAGAAGCAAGCTGTAATAAGTGGCACACATCGCGATCAGTTTTCCACTTTCTGTTCTACATGTACTAAAAAAAGGAGTTGACGAACTTTTCTGATAATTTTGGGGAAGCGAAAGATCATGGACCAAGGGGTCATCCCATCCATGAGAAGCGGACGGATCTGAAACTCACAAGCTGAAGGAGCTGAAACTCAGAAGCTGAATACACCACGTCCCCGGCCACCACCCCTATACGTGTCTTGCTTTTATACCAGAAAGGCGAAAGACAAAACCTGAAACACCATCATAGAGGTCTGGCAGGACTTTTCGCCTGCATCAAGGCCTCGTGCGTACGGCCGCGCCTTGGCCTAGCCTAGCGCCTGCGCCCTTGGACGTACGCACTCGGCCTTGATTCAGCCGTAAAGTCCTGCCAGACATCTATGATTGTCTACGTTAATAGGTTTACTATGGAACCTAAACAAGAGAAATGTTGTTCTTTGTATTTGAATTCGCAAGAAATCCAACACGCACGCATCTCGATTTCAACAACAATGTTGCCTTAGAAACTGAACACTGGTCATACTGCCCATCAGGCATCACCCTCGGCCTCCCTATAGCCCTCCCTCCCCCTCAAAAATTAATTGGCTGAGAAAATTCAAAGAGAAAAACGCACAGGTGACAGATCAGGACTTACAAGAGTACACAACATGTGGGGCCTGAACTCCCACCAGAACAAGAAGGAATCCATAAGCGCTGGCTGAGGCAATGTAAAGAGAAAAAAGATCAGGTATTGTTTTTTTCATTTGTCAAATTGTGTTTTGTTCCTGTGTCATGTTTCCTTGCCTTGCAAGCTTGCCTTTCCTTTTTTTGTTGAGCTTGAAAAAGTACTACTGAGTACTGTACTCCCTGCTTACAACTGAAAAAAAGTGTGAACGCCAACAACTGTGTACCGTGATGGCTGCGCAGACACGTACCCCTGACAAGTCGAGATATATACAGATAGTGCACGGATTGGTCCTCGGAAGAATTATTATTAGTAGGGAGGTTCTGCTCTACGTTTTGGGAACGCGACGCAAAGAATCACGCGAACTTTCTTCGCGTTCCCGTAACGTAAAGAAATGCTGTTCTGCTCTACGTTTCACCTAGAGAAGTCACGTGGAATGTGTACTGGGAACTTCCCCTTCCATATTTGGCAGTTTTCTGCATGCAGTTGATCGATATACGCGATACCCAGCAAATCCGTACGCATTTTCTCTGCGTGTGCCACAACGTAGAGAACCCCATCTCCGCGTAGAAATCTGGAGCCAAAACACGCGAAGCCGTAGACTCTAACCCAGACACCTGCTCTCTACGTGATTTCTCTACGTTTCACGTATAGCAGAACCTCCCTATTATTATT